GCTCAGAAGCACCTGTGATTTAATTTGTACATGACATGGCCTTGGAACAAGTGCAGGGGATAAGCTTTCTTGCAAGTTGATTATTCATGTTCAGAATGACAGGCTAATTTCTATTCAGTTGCATTTCATTTTTACTCCTGGCTTTCCATTTTAAAAAAATATATAAAGGGTTGCAACTGGATCTCCGAATATCAAGACTGGGCAAGAACATTGCCAGAAAGAGATTAACTGGTATGACTCAAACACTCTGCAGGTATAACGGGCGCAACAGGGTTGGGGGATTTGGGTGTGTAAACGTGCCCCACCCTAATTTTCCCATGCACAGTTTCTGTACTGATCTTTGCACAGATCCTCACTCTGAGTCAGGAAAGCCTGCTTATCTGGTTTTCCAGTCATCAGTCAGGGCTGTAATGCAAGTATGTGTGATCATATCTCCCAAATCTATTAAATACTAAATGTTTGCAGGTGGATGCTTTTAGGCACATTTTGATGAAAATTAGAAGAGCTCAAAATGTTTGCATGTTCAGTATTTAATAAATTGAGTACTTGAAGGCTGGGGGCCTTCAGTACTAGAGCTGCAAGGAATGGCCTGTGCAAGTTGGCCACTAAAGTTCAAGCAGCATCACTCAAATGTGATCATATTAAGAGAAGGATCTGTATGGTAAACTTAGATAGAAAGATCAAGTGACATACAGTGACATCTTGTTGATACTTGTTGATTTTTGGAGTGCATAGATGGGTTTACTTCTTCAGATACATTGAGATTGTAGCTCCTTAATTCCCAATCAACATTCTGGCTGGAAAGTTATAAACAGCTGTTCCAATGCATTTGCAGGATGCCAAGAGGGGAACGCTAATCTCCATAGTTCTAAAAGCCATCTGATACCAATAAGTCTTCAGTTTACAGATTCACTTTATGCTATACATTCAGGATACCTCCATTAGCCATCCTCAGTTAGAATCCAACTTATATTTAAGTGACATTTATGCACAATAAAAAAGCCAATCTTAACAGGTTAATCTCTTGGATCAAAACAGAAAAATAACCAAGACTAAATTAAAGGCAGATGTCTTGTCTGTAGGTTTTCACAGTCTGCTGTCTCAGGTGGGTGAAGTTTTGCCCTCCTTTGTCTAATCATACCTTGGATACAGAGAAACCAATTAGAGACATAAGATCAAATGCCCACAAAAAGCATGAGACATAGTTAATAATATTTCAGTGTAAAACTTAATTGAGTACAGAGGTAATTATGGCAGTGATGCTGACTGATGTCTATAGCAAGTGGTGGAAAAGATTGGTAGAGGTTGGATAGTATTTATGAGAGGAAACCACCAGAAATCTCAGGACTTTAGTCTTAACTAGGAAGTAAAAAGATATTCTGGAAAAATGTAATGCCACACCACTTTCGTATTGTTACCAAGAAAACTATATAGATACAATTCCTTAATCCCCAGGAATCAAGGACAGCTAAACAGACCCGTTACCTTCAATTGGTGACAAATTACATCTTAGTAAAATGCTAGGAAGGAAAAAAATAAGAATAGACAAATTACATTTTAGTAATTTGTTCATTCTTATTTTTTTTTCCTTCCTAGCATTTTGGCACAAGTTCAAGGTTTCCCCTTCTTCAACAACCTGGTGTTGATCTATCCATTGCGAAAGGAATTGCCTGACCGGCTTGTCACCAGAGCTTGAGGTCATGGGCTAGGAGAGAGTGACTGGCCTAGTCACCCAGCCAGTTTTCATGCCTGAAGTGGAACAGTCTCCTGGTTTCTAGACTACCGTCTTAAAAGCTCTCATTCCATAGACATTCTTATATGGGAGGAGAAATTATAGTCAAAGAATTGAATCAGATTTGATACTGGATTCTTACATAAAGGATTGCTCTTCTGAAATATCTATTTTGTACAGGTACTGCTCTGGTTACCCATGTGAAACCTCTGAGATGGAAAGGAGTGTATAAAGTGAACAAATATGTGGAACATCCCTACCCCTTTTTGTTAGGTTAGGCAACCACACTGCAATCGGGGCATGCATATTCATGAGCATTGGCATTCCTTGACTGGTTCAAGCAGCAACTGATTTTATGTTTAGATAAAATTTAAAGTTTATGTGGAGATATGTCCTATCTAAGGGATATGGTGGAAAAATGTATGGCAATGTACAATAAACTCAACACTTAAATACTCAATCAGCAGCAATGAGAAAAGGCTACCAATAAAATGGTCAAAATATTATTTGCTAAAAAACAAAGAGAAAAAAACAATGCAGCAAAGTAGAAGGAAATCTAGTTGCATAACTAGCAAATGTTTCTTGAGAACATGTATAGATATTTAGATGCCTTTACCTGGTTACAGGTAATTTGTTTGTGCTGGTTAAAATAGAAAGTTAGTTTGAATGTACTATAAGCAATAATTCTGGTTACATGAGCATAAAGGACAGACCCATTGGCCTTCACATACAGGTAGTCCTCAAATTACAATCATTTGTTTGGCAATTGTTCGAAGTTACAACAGCACTGAAAAAAATGACAATTAATTCTTGCATTTATGACTATTGCATCCACCCCAAGGTTACATGATCAAAATTCAGGCACTTGACAACTGGCATGATTTATGATGGTTACAGCATCCTGAAGTCATGTGAACAACATTTGATACCTTCCCGACTGGCTTCCGACAAGCAAACTCAGCGGGGGAAGCTTAATAGCACTTATATATCACTTCATAGTGCTTTCCAGCCCTGTCTAAGCGGTTTACAGAGTCAGCATATTTCCCCCAACAATCTGGCTCCTCATTTTACTGACCTTGGAAGGTTGGAAGGCTGAGTCAACCTTGAGCCGTTCAGAGTGATTCGCTTAACAACTATGATAAAAAAAAAACCTTTGTAAACTCAGGCACAACTCACTTAACAGCTGCCTTGTTTAGCAACAAAAATTCTCGTCACAACTGTGGTCATAAATCAAGGACTATCTGTACCATATTGTAGAATGTATCAGCAACCATCCTCAGTCACCCGCGCAGGGCCATTGGGAGCGGGAATTCAGTGACTTCTGAAGAACCGCCAATTTTCCAGGTGAAAATCAGCTGCTGGAAACTGCAACACAATTCACTGTTCTTATTACTATTATTGTTACTGCTCTTACTATTCATACTTACAGTCTTCCAACCGTTTATATCAGTATTTAAAGCACTCTCTCAATTCCATGTTTCCCCCCCTCAACAATCACCCTGTGAGAAAGGGCAAAGTGAGCTTCCATAACTGACTGTGAACCTAACCCTGCCTTTCCCATTTTATTCCAACAGCTGAACCACCATATCATTTTATCGAGTTTTAGTAGGGAGTAAACATATTTAACAAATTGGCCTCCTAAGCAAAGGGGCATTTGCCAAACTGACCTCTATCACTATGTTGTACTACAACTCCCAGCCGACTAGGAGATCTAATCCAAAGGCACCCAAAAGGTGCCCTAAAGAAGCTGAAGGCCAAAGAGCCGGCGGCATTACTTGTCTGGGCCTCACAGGGTGGATTATGGGAGCTGTTGTCTAGCTAATTTAGCTTGGGGGAGTGGGGGGGGGGGAGAGAGAACCATTGCTCATGCCCTGCATTTTGCGTGTGCTGACAAGGAAACGATCGGGCGAACTCCTGGGAGCCCGACCGCTGCGTCTTTGGGGTTTGCCTTCTAATCCAAGTCATTCTTGGCTCGGGCCTCTTTTTGGAAAAGCCGCGAAGGTGCCGGAAATTCGCTACCTGTCACGGTCCCCACGTTCGAAGCAGCGCGGGTCTGACTCAGCAGAAGGCAACCGCGAGGCTCCCTTGCAAGGCGCAGAAGGAACGGCGGGGAACCATCGGGGCAATCGCCCAAGAGACGATCGCGCCCGGAGGGGAGACCCGACGGTAAACTTGCACGTCGCCGGTCGTCGCCACGCAGGCTTCTCTTTACAGCAACTGAGCATAAACGGCGCCCGTCGCGTTGCTGGGTTTTGCCGCGGGGAGAAGACCGAAGGAGGAGGAGGGGGGGGAGGCGGTGAGACATTGAATCGTCTGGCTCTTTATGGAAACCGGTTATAACCACTAGGGGTCCGTCTTCCTCCTCGCTTGCTCCTGCAAGGTAAGGAAGAAAGAAAACAGAGCCCTGATCTGAATGCTCAGCTGGTAGCGGAGGGAGAGGGGCGGAATATGGGCGGCGGGACGCGGGGTGGGGAGAGACCATCGGGAAACCCATCGGCCGTGTCAAGATCGGGCCGAAATTCCAAAGCGGAGGTTTGCGAGCGGCTCGAGCCTTTCCTTTCCTAGCTGGGATATGTATATATTTTGGGGCGGCGGGGAGGGGGGGGGAGAAGAGGCGGTGCATTATTTTGGATGGTGGCGCTCACCCTGTAAATCTGCCAAGCGAAATTGCACCATCGGAGCGGTCTAACTTTAGTGGGTGGGGACGAGGGTGCTTCCTTAAACAGCCCGGAGAAGGAGAAGAGCGGAGGGAACCGGGTAGGGGCGCGCTTCTTCTTCCTGGGCGGCGGCTGCTGCTGCTGCTGGTGCTCGTGGTGTCGCCGTCGCCGCTACTCTTCTTGCCCAGCCCAGCCCAGCCCAGCCCAACGCTTCTGGATCTATCGCCCTAACACGTGAGGGCCCCCCCTTTTTTTTCTTTTTTCTTTTTTTTTGCGCGGCGGAAACTTTCGAGGGATACTTGCTGCCAACTTAAGAGACACGCGCTCGGTGACAGCGGCGTGGGACTCTCGCCGTGGCTTTGCGGGTGGTGGAATCGCAGCTCCACGCGGATCCAGGCGCTCCTTTTCGGCCAGGGTGCGTGTGCCTCTCTGCCTTTTCCTGCGATTGGAATTCCGCCCCTTCGTTGCTGACTCTCCGGGAGGGGGGGGGGCTCCGGCCGGTCGCCCCCCGCCGCCTCTCCCTTTTTTTTCTAAGCACCGAAAAAAAGTGGCCGGGGGGCCCCTTCCACCACGCCCCTCTAGTTTTCCCCCGGGGGGGGGGCCGCCCCCCCCCCCCCCCCCACGGTACCTCCTCGTTTTTGTGCCTCCAGTGTAACTCAAGAAGATCTGGCCAGGACGAGGGAGGACGAGCAAGTTAAATCCACAGGAACGCGCCAGGGTTGCTGGCTGTCCCCCCTTGACAGAAGGTAAGCAGGGAAGGGAAAGGACCGACCGGCCGACTACGCACGCGTGTGTGCTCGGAGCTCCTTTGCCAGGGTTCGGCTCTTGTCAGTTTCATCGTGCTCACGGGCTGGCGTGAATCGGGGATCCTTTAAATCCCCGGGTTTTTTTTTTTTTTGTGGGGTGAGGGAATTAATCTCGGGCGGGTTCGATCGAGCTCTCCACGCGGACATCTTTTCCCGGGGAGCCGTTCGATTGTCGTGTGATGGGCAGGGCGATCTGTTTTGCAAGCGGACGGGTGGCGTGCGGAGGTTCCCCGGGCAGACCCGAAGCTGCTTTTCCACACGTTCCTGCAGATCTTCCCCTCCCTTCCCCGTTGGGAGAACTACCCGGGTCAGCATAATTCTTATCTTTTCTCTCCCCCCCCCCCCCCCAAGGCGTGTTTCCTAAAGGGCAAGAAGCTAGTTGGGAGTTTAAGGTGCACTTGGGCTTTTAAAACCCGCCGGCGAACCCAAAACGGGGCTAAAAATGGAACGACGTTCTTAAGGTGCTGCTGAAACGGATCGGTGGCTCCCCGATTGTATGGGTGTGTCTCCCCCCCCCCCCCTTACAACCCTCTTCCCCCGATCATTGTAAGAAGCAACGGTTTCTATTGAAGCCCCGGCGAGGCTTTCTCCGGACGAGCAGCTGGGAGTTTGGGGCTGGGTCTTTGCGGGCGAGATGAGAAGTTTCTGCCTTCAACTGGCCTACAAAGTCCCAGTTCTCGGCTCTTAACTTTGCGGTGCGGCTGGGCGCTACCCTGAGGGGAGAGGACAGACGCGGGCGAGACAGCAGCCGAAAAGGAGTTTCTATTGTCAGGGTGCGGGGAAGGGTCACAAAGGTCTGGGGTCGGTGAAATAATTCCTCCTATCTCGGAATATAAGCTTTAAGGAAGGCTGTTCTCCTTCCACACGTCGCCCTTCCTCACCCGCGAACACACCCACTGCGATTGAGATTTTCCCCTACGAAATGAAGCACCAAGGCGGTATCGATCCCTCGATCCAGCCCAAATGGAGCCCTGGAAGGTCGCGTCCCTTATAGAGGAAGCACGTGCTTAACTTTTCCTAGCGAACAGTCCCAGGTTCCTAGCAGAAATTAATTTTTCTCCGGGTTGTTAAATTGCGATAGGCCTTCATAACCATTTCAAAGGTACAGAATGTTACTGACATTTTTTTTAAAAAAACAAAAAATAAACATGAATAAGTACGGATTCCAATATTGATTTTAAAATTTAGATAGATCTGTTGGAAATGCATCAAATGCAACCGAATAATATTGGCGAATTACTTCTTTGAATGCGCTTGAATTGAAGTTTTCCAGCCTTTCTTTTTCCCATGTTCATATGAAATGTGTTTTTATGTCTCCCAAATTTGCAAGTCATTGTAACCATGTCTGGTTTCGGGGGCCTTAAGTCAAAGAGTGCCAATATTTATTTTGCCTTTTTTCTCCTCCTTTATGTTCTTTACTTTAGAAAGAAAATACAGTTTCTTTCTAAGGAAAAAAAATGATAATCATAACTGGAAATAGTATGAGTATTAGTGATTGTCATATTGTTTGTAGGAATGCTTTTTTAAAAGCTGTTTATCAAGCGAGGAGGCAGCTTTTGAAAATAAAGGGTCCCTATTCCTAACAGCTGTGATTGTTTGGTTTTATAGAAATGACACAGTTCTGGGGGGGGGGGAAACTAAATATATTGTATTCAGAATAATAGAAGGTATTTGATTTTACATACATGTCACACTGCAGAAAGCCTTTAAATAAAAAAAGCTTTATAAGCAGAATTCTTAGTAAAGAAGGAAAAATAATGGCTGTATAATTTCAGCGTACACATATTCAGTAATAAATCTAGTGACTTTAGTGGAAATTATTTCTAAGTAATTGTGTGTAAGACTCTGGCTTTTAAAAGTTTATCCAAATGTTAATACCTGGGGGGGGAGTTATAAATAAACACATTAATGATTCTTTCCATAAATAATGTGAGCCTTATGGTATAAATGTCCTATATCCCCATAAGAATTAAACCACATTATGGTATGTTCGCCAGTGTGTAAATCTTTCTGGTGATGGATTTTAAAACGGTCTGACAACTTTCCATTTTAAAATTTCTTTACAGAGAATGAAAAGCACAGCTTTGTACACTTCGTTCAGACTATATAACAATCACAATCTATTTGCCTATTGATACAGGCATATTCCATTTGCAGCCTACACCCCATTTCATTAATAAAACAAACTCTCTCTCCATCCACTAAAACATAAGCATTTATTTACCATGATCATACATATTGGTAAACATCAATTAAAACTATTATTAAAAGAGGGCCTAGTTCAACACAGGTTTAAAGAGGCATTTAGTATTAACTGGGAATACAAATATAATTAAAAATATATACAGTAATTAGTGCACAAAAACTTTGAAAGCCAGCTGGGAGGTGGGGAATATTTTACCTTTTATGGTCCAAAGATGTCAACCAAGATCTCATTTAAGACCGAGATGAAGAAGCAACTGTGCTTTCATTATATATGTCTATATCTTCTGAATGAACAAATCATTCATGTAGTTCTAAATGTATGCGTTTGGGGAAAAATGCCATTGAACTCTCTAAACGTTTTACATTTTGAAGTGATCGTTCAGTTAGTACCATGGTGCTAAATTTTAATCTATAGTTTGGAATTTAACATTTGGGGAATAGAAACATATCAAAAGTGTAAAGGCCAAATAAATATGAACAATTTTAATACCGTTTGTTATTTTTCAAAAGGCTTCAGTTTTGGTATTTTGCATTGCTAGTATTTTTCAAAATGATTTCTACAAAGAAACGGAACTATTGGTATTTATATTGTAAAAATTTTCATGCACAAAAATTCAAACGGATTTTAGCCAGTGTTACTGGCTTACCTGCAACTGTGACTGTACATTCCAGCAAACTGAAAATCCAAGTGTATTTTGTGAGACCTGATCAATTTGCTAGTGAATGCATTAAGAATTTCTGGTGTCCATTTGGGCCTTGTTCTATTTTCTTAGGAATACTCTTAATAACTATGTCAGATCAGCCTTTTCTGGAAAGAAGCATGCATGGTGCAATCCTATGTCGGTTTATTTGGGAATGAATTCCCCTCTACAAATTTAAGATCTAATTTAAATTTCACGGGCATAGGATCAGACTTTGTGGTGTAGTCCTGAGAAAGAAACTCTAATCCGATTCTACCCATGAGACTTACTGCTAGAATAAGTGTTCAGACTTAAGTCAATGTCACTCTTTTTTCAGTAAAAAAAAAACACCCACCTTTAATGGGATTGCTTTGCTACCTTTTTTCTGTTCTACATTTAATATATTAAAAACATATATATTACTATTTTATTTATTGTTTAAAATTCCATATTAGCTTATTAATTGCCCATGGTAGCTAATAAACAGTAGTTATGTTTATTTAAATAAAAATCCTACTTTTCCAGGTCTATGTAAGCCAGATCAGCACCAGAGCAAGAAATATGCTTTATATTTTTGTGTGTTTGTGTGTGTATTCAGATTCTATATAATCTCCCAAACCTTAATTATTTAATAATAATTTAAAAAAATAATTATTAAAAAAAATAATTATTATTTATTTATTTTCCATAGAGGCAAACATACCTTATTTTCAAACCTAAATATTTTCCATCATACAGTAAATCTGAGGAAAGGAAAATCTGTTTGCCTTGAGAAACAAATCAAACAATTTTTTTTATGTGTTGCTGTTTATTATCCTCCTCTGTGGCCTACAACACAAGGATGCATCTCATTGTGTAGGAAACTCAATTTCCATCTCTGTTCTCCAGCCTTTGCATTTTATGTACTTAGTAAGAAAATTACATTTCCCATTACCTTTTTCTGGGTTAGTTTTGTCACTTAACCCTAACATGAAGTAGATGTGTGAGCTCAGTGGAAGAAGAGAGGAAATGCCATCCTTTGGGGGCACTTATGTCCAGTTATCACTGAATTTTCTACTCTAAATTCTCTTAGGAGTAGCATTTCTTGAGTAAAGGCCCTTAGCACAGGAATGGAAGGAAGAGGATCTTGAAAGTCTTCCTCCTACCAGGCCAACGCCCGTCAAAAGTATGATGGCATGATCCAGCACACAGTGATGTGTCCTGGAGTATTTATTAAAATTAAATGTAAATTTGTACTGGATTGGATTCCAAACATTTTGTAAGGTGTTCCCTCATGCTGAAATTGATTTGTTTCGAGAAAGTGTGTGTGAGATCGATCGAAAGCGATATGAATGCAAAGTCCTTGGTTAAGAATGCGTTCCTAAAATGTCTACACATGGGAAGGGTGGAAAGACTTTAGAAGGACTCATAGATAATTCTCTGGGCTAAGGTCCTATGACTGCAATCCTTTGTGTGCTTCTCTGAAGCCCATAGGCTGCATTTACACTGCAGCATTTCCATAAGAAATGGTGAATAGAGTTGCGCTGTAAATCCCCTGAATATTAATATTGATAAAACACTGTGATAGCCTCAAAGTAGTTTGGGGAAAAGGGCAAATGTTTTTCAACAATTGTATGAGCTCAATTCACATATTAGCTGGAACTCTTGAAGATTAATAATGATGTATAAAGTATTTCATTTGGATGCTTCAGTCTTTGGTTTATAACATTCCCTGATCTCAGACCTTTGGATTTTAATAGGAAAGTTTTAAAGTAAGCCTGCTTTTAGTTATCTTTCAATAGGCTTTTGTTATATTGCAGTTGCACTTGTATTCTTTTCTTTGAAGAAACTTCAGAGATACTGGCCACAGAGTAGTCCAGTTCTTCCTTGCGCCATGTCACTTAAACTATTCTTTAACCTTTTTTTTTTTTTCTACAATAAATGAAGCTGCTAGTAGCCCTGCAGCAAAAGGGAAGAAAACCTAAAAGGGGCGGGAGACACCCAATTCATTTGGAGTGAGAAAACTTTGTGTATGTTCATGTGCTTCTCTTATTAGATCAGGAAATTGCATCCCAT